CCCCCCCCCCCAAAAAAAATTGAATTGTCTAATCACATTATTTCACGTAAATTACCACATCATCAATGTTCCACAATAAATAGCACTATACGAGAGACAAAAGTCACACCGTGCTTAATTCAGTTTTCAGACAATTTTGAAATATGGACTAACATAATGTTTGTTTGATGTCGAAAAAGGCACACAATTTGTACTGAATACGTAGACTTTGTGGGAGTACAATTCTATATGTCTTAAGAACCTATAGATCTTATCAAACTTGAATGAGTTGGTGCATGTCTCATTAAGGGTAGTTTGATTTAGATTTTTTCAAATAGATCTGGTGAAAAATGATACTTTTAAAGAATGTATGGTTAAAGTACGGAAAAGTCATTAGTTTACGTACAAAATTATTTTATTACGAGAATGCATAGTTCAAAATGAATTTGAAAAAAATAATTTTTAAAGAACATACTTAAAAATATGGAAGTACTTTTTATAAAAGTAGGTAAAGATGTACAAAAGTAAATTCTTGAGCAAACAAATTACTCTGGAGAAAGTTGGGAGAAAAAGTAATGTAGTTCTTTGATTGATAATTTTTTGTTAATAAACTTTACGACGGATCAAATTTCAATTTTAACGACACATTTCATGGAAAACAATTTTTTTATTTTTCAACCTCACGTTTCATCAATTTTTTCTAAAAAACTTCTATCAAAGTTTGTTCGACAATCCCCTGACTTCTAAGCTTCAGGGGAACATGTCCTCAATCTTATCGAATAAATAAAAGTTTGAGTGGACATTTCTTTGAGCAAATTGCCATTGACACAATGCTAGACAACCATATGTTTTATGCTAAGTTTCTCCCGACTATTAGTAGGAGTTATTACGTTTGATATTACGTGATTCACCATATTCCTAGGTCCAAAATATCAAGTTTTGATTTGAGTCAAAATATTTCTACACTCTTGAAAGCCTTTTTTTCCGAGCTCGATAATAAATTGACGACTGACCATGGTGGTAAAGGTTCAAGCTCCTAAGTTGACTACAAGCTAATTATGAGGTCAAGTTCATGGTCTCTCCTAAGACAGACATTTGCCCATCAAATCAACACTCACATTTTTTTATGAAACTAGGAAGAAGCAAGTGCAATGCATGAACCATAGTATAGTTGACTATATGATAGCGTAAATATATAAAAAAAATTTATTTGTCTTAAGCATTAGTTACATTAAACTTAAAACACTTGAAATGATGATATATGACAAAAATAATATTAATAAATTTGATTCAAAACTTATTTTCTAGATTTTGCGTTTGAAGGTCTCTCTATTCTTTTTAAAAAAATACAGAGCATAGATGATTATGTGTTGATGTCTTGCTAAAGAGATAATGAAGTTCAACATATCCATCATTTTTCTACCAATTGAGGTAAGACATTACGTCTCTTTCATTTCGTGCTCATAGAATCTCTAATTACATGTATCAGTTGCACCAATATTTAATTTCTTTTCTAAGACCCTATGCAAGACGTATATAGTCAAGACTAATTAATTAATGATAATACGGTGCAAAATTTAGGACAAATAAAGGGTCTCTATCAGTATTAAAACCACAACACAACGAAAACTTCCATCATAGAGACAAAAAGAATGACAAACGATCACCTAACTTCATAGATTCTGTCGAATATCTTTTCAACATGTTCTAATGATACTGTGCATTAAATTCATCTTAAAAAAATCAAAAAAATCCACTTCCTAGAAGTTGCTTGTCTATCAGCACTGCATGATGTATGAGGATTCTTCTGAAAATCATTGAGTTCCTTCAATATCCATTTTGACGGCATAAATTTACCATTTTTAACCATAAAAATTAAAGAAAAATGAAATTGAGAGAAATTTGTGTGAGTATGGGAGTTGAGGGTGTAGTAGAAAAGAAAAATTAACGATTATGATTTTACGTTTAATAATTTAAGATAATTTTTATATTANTAAAAAAAAATTGAAATCGATTCAAATGGATATTCATATCGTGAAATATCGAATCAAACGAAAAATTGTAGGAAAATAAAGTTCGAAAAAAGGACATTGCAATGATGTTGGGATTGAAAAGAAATATAAACAATCACGACTTTACGTTTCACGATTAATGTAAAATTATTTTGATATTTAAAATTTATCGATCATATATTTATCATGGTTGCACTTCAGCATTTCCAACAACTTTTAAATCGGTTAAAATGAATATTTGTAACTTAAAATATTGAATCAAACGTATAAAAAAAAAAACCAGCTTAGCCTAGCCAAGCCGAGCCATAAAGTCATTTGACTCGGTTTATAAATAGTAACCACCAAGTGAGTCTTTTATTTATGTAGGATATGATGTAGGATACATAGGCCTTGCCTCATTTCACCCAAAAATCGATTTTTTTGCATTGTGTCCCCTTTTAACTTTTTAATACAATGTCAAGCGTATTATAGTCAAATCAATTTTTGAATTTTACTCACAATACCTATTTTACCTTTTTATATTAAAAATAACAATTGATTCAGCCACTTTTTCTGTCTGATTCAAATGGTCAAAATCTGATAAAATTTGAAGATGAAATTGATACCAGATGGGTGCATAAACTCCCTCCATCCCTACCTCCTTATATTTTTCCCTATCATCCGAATTTGACAAGAAAATTACAAAGCTTATATACAAAAGATCGTACGTACTTGAATGTACACGTTTTCCAAGCCCTTGGAGCGTCTTGTACTTGTGGAGAAAAAATCGATATCATACTTCATATTTTAAGCTCTTGAAGCCTCTTGTACTAACGGAGAAAAAATCAACATCATACCTCGTGGCTCTTACCGCATAGTTTCATGTTCTAAGACATTAACTAAGGTATCGACTCTACTATCATATATATTAGATTTTTCTAGTATAGTCTAGTCCGCCTGGCAATATTTGCATTTCATTTGCTTAAATGAAAATGCATTATAAAAAGACGCCTTCGATAAAACGCAAACACAGGATACTTTCAAGTTTGAACATTCCAACAGCACAAAAAGTAAATAGACATAATCAACATTTGTGTTCTTTAAAGTTTAAACCCCTCCACCAATTTCTCTCTCTACCCAGAAACTAGGATGAAAAAACTTTCACCTAATTTCCTTTTCTCCTCCTATATACCATTTACACAAACATTTCACAACACCGAGCTTTCACATATTCACCATTCCTTTTCTTTTTTCATGACTTTCACTCCATATTTCACCATTCATTTTCCATTACACATTTAGTAATAAACAGATCAGAATGGGGAACATAAAGGATTTCCACAAACGACCCAAAATTCTTTTTTTCTTGTATTGTCAAAAGGCAAATTTTTCAGCAAAAACCTTGGCCATTTCCAACTTAGAGAGAGAAAGTTGAAGAGACGAGTCTTTAGTTTGACAAAACGTTATTGTTCACCGTAGAAGACGACCAGAAATCAGCTCCATTGGAGTCTGCTACATGTAGGGTTAACTCAACAGGAACCAGACACAGCCCTTTGCTTCTTAGATCATTTCTTGTTTCGGTTTCACTCTCCCCCATCATTTCTTTGTCCTCCTGCATGTCCAAAACTATTGTCAGCTAACAAGATGGAAAAATAAATTTGGCTACTTATGATTTATTGTGTAGAATATGCAAAAACGGTGTCATTCTTGCGTTTTCTTTCAAGAAAACAGTGCAATGATCAATTAAATAGATAGTATCGAATTCCTATTCTCACTAGAATTATAATTTAGCGGCATTAATATGAAAAGATAAGCTTGGAACTGGAAATCAATTTCAATTCCAACAAGGCTCCATTAATATACATTCTACAACATTTTTGCCTAGAAAAATCCCATTCTACAAATTTTAAAAGCGGCCAGTTAGGTAGCCTCTCTTGTAGGTGTTGGAAATTGGAATTGGTTAAGTATCAAACCAAGGTAGAGTGACTTTTGTGTCAATTTCGACCAAATATTCGGACTTAATTCGATAGTCAAATTATGGAAATAAATAGACTAACTTGTTCTACTCATCGAGTAGATCGTTGTCGTACATTTGGAATAACAAATGCAATTCCGGATGAATGAGAAATTGCAGTCTAAAGTTGAAAGAAATGAGAGGAAAAGTGGCTGGAAAATTGTCAAACTCTGTCGCTTGCCTAGCGCTCGAACGGTAAGGCTGTCGCTCGAGCGACGGAGGCTCTATTTTTGACGCTCAAGCGACGCAAGGGCAACATGCGAGCGATAGCAAAAGTTGTGACCATTGGCAAAGATTGCTGAGTTTTGAGGCGTGTCTCTTTACTCACAACCTCTCTTTTTTTATAAATAAGACACATGGGATGTTCATTACTTCATCTCAATAATATGCACTCATAACATTAAATTCATCTTTTCCTAATCAAAACTCTGCATAAAAATCTGTTTTCCTTTTCATTCTAGATGGAGTACAAAAACCAATCTTAGGTTCGTTGTTCTTATGTTTTAAAGTGTTACAAACACAAGGAGATAGTTGTTGTATCTTGGGAGTTGATTGTCTTCATCTGTAGGCACCGAGACGGGGCAAAAAAATTGACTTAAAGACAGAGAGTTGAACTCTTGCCTTACTTTGCTTCCATTTCATTTGACATTACTTTGTCATTATTTTTTCGTTGGTATTTTATTATTCATTTCCTTGCCGTTACTCTATTCAATTTTTTGTAAGGTTGGTACGTTTGATTTTTGGTTTTAAAGTTATCACTCAAATTTATTATCTTATCAACAGGTGGCATTATCAGACTTTGATTTCCAATCTCAAACTAAAAAATTATGAAAACTACTGGTGGGGTCAATCCATTGTAAAATTTCCTCTGTAATGCAGCTCATTGATAGAACTTTAGACTTTTTTTTTTCCTCAAAATTACTAATTTCTAAACTCTTGTTTTTATCATGTAAAATGAACTGGATATATTGCATAAAATTGAAAATTAGATGGAATACAATTAACAAATGATATCATTATATACGTAGAACGGTTCATTTTATCATATAAAGTCTGCTATGTACAATTTACATAATTGATGGCTAGACATGATTCTATAACATATTGTTGCTCCGATGTTGTTCCTGTACCACGCTGCACAATTTCGTTATAATACAGACCATATTCGACAGTAAAATCAAAACAACTAAAATTCTTGTCAATTATCATCCAATCTACGGCCATATAGTACTAGACTGTACCAAACACGGTATAGGCATATTAGCGAGATAAGAAATACTTACTGGCAGAGAGTGCATGTAAGGAGAACATAGAACCTGAACCTGATCCTGAAGAAACCTTATGTAACACATTGCTTCATGAAGCACTGATGCTGTATCTGTCTGTACCATCAATTTCCAAATATGTATTTACACAATTTGATTTGTGTAAAAGGAAGGGTAAAGAGAAAAATGTAATTAAACTAGTTAAAATATTTGTAAATTGATAAAATGAATCAAACCTTGCCAAAGGGTGACACAAGTTGCTGCAACGCAGTGATTCTTTCACCAAGCTTCTCTTTCTTTTCCTATATTTAGCCAAAACTTGTAAAATTTTAAGCATTTAAGTAACGCAATACATTTATGTATTTAAATTTAGTATTCCCTTTACATGCAATTCTTAGTCTTGACTGACCTTCGCATGGCCAGAGACAGTTGAGTTTGTCGACTTAGTTTTCTTACAGTATTTCTGGATTTCTGCAGGAGCTCTGGAATTAACGCCGGAGTTCAGAATGGATTCTGCACTCCCCAACCCATATCTTTTCTTGCATTTTGGTAGTGTGTAATTTGTTGAAGAAGTGGAGGATGAATCACTGCATGTAACTCCAGATTTTTCAGCCATTTTAGCAGAATTCTCCACAATCTTCAAATCACATTCTTTGCCATAATCTCCAAAACACAACATTGTCGGAGGATTATCATATGAAAAAATTGAAGTGAAATTGAAACATTCATCCTCAAACCCATCACTACCAGTAGCCGCCATTGATATACACAGAAGATTGGGTAATGTGTGTGTATCAGTGTATGGGGGTGGGGTGGGGTGGGATATTGGGTAGAAGAAGAATGGGTTTTATGGGAGTAAACAACGGAAGCTTTAGCTTCTTGTTTCGAGTTAATATCAGAGAACAGGACAGTTTAAGCTACGTTTGCTCGCTTGCTCTCTCTCTCTCTCTACGTCTTGGAATGGAGCTATGGGAGTTACAGAAAGGCAGGCTTTGGTTTTGTCATCACTGCCAAGTCTTCAAAACCCCACCACCATACCCGAGAAAACCGTGCTATATAACAACGGTCCGTTTGATAGACAAAGATGGAAGGAATTCTAATTACTTATTAGTTAGAAAATAAAAATTCATCAAGTCCATAGGAATTCGTTTTCCATGAAAATAAAGAAAATGCAACATAAAGTGATTGTACCTTGGAATTCGATTTTCATTTTCACGTTGCGATAAAACGGTTAAAGTGAAATTCGTTTTTTTCGGATATGATATTTTCCATGTAATTCGTTGCAATCAAACATGGCCTAAGAGATGGTTCGGACCCCTAAAACAAATACATACTATCCAAATTAGAGCTATTTACCTAATAAAACTTTAATTTTAATTACATATTTCATAAAATTTATTAATTTTTCAATCATATTTCATCAAAATTTACAAATTCTTTTATTAAAAAATTTGTCAAAGCAACGCATATAGTACACAAAAATCTGTAAAAAAATTCATCACTAAGATAACGTTTATTGCCACAAAATATAAAGGAACGCAAAAAGTTTCTAACGCGGACTCTTCTTTAGCTTTTTATCACGACATGCTCTTGAAGTGCAATTTTAACGAAGTTGCATATTACGTAACAATACTTTATAAGTTCAATTGTGTTTTCGCACGAATTAACAAGTTTAGTTGAAGTTGATGATGTTCGTGCAAATAATGGCATATTTCACTAAAGTTTATAATTACTTATAAATTTATCAAACCATAGTTTTCCTACACACAATTTTACTTACCTTTTAATCCAAGACTCGGTTTATGAAGACCTAAAGCTTAGCAAGTCATAGTGTCACGGATTGTAGCTTTACGTAAGCCCCGTGACCCTATCGTAGTCGCAGTTTGCCCAATTTCGGCTGCACATTGTAAATATTTCATTTAATTGTAAAATAATTGGAAATTAGAAAAGTTTAGTAGGATTCCTCGACTTTTTAACGTCTACTTCCGTCATTCGGGTTTCTGTTGCTAAATCTATTATAGGAGGTATTAGTCTTTCAAACATCTTTCAAGTTTTCTAGTGTTCGCCCCCTGCACTAGCCATTGTAATTTCCTGCTTTCGTCTATTGTAATATTCAGCTTTCAAGCAATCAATGATCAAGTTTATTTCAATGCATTTCAATTTCATGCTGTAAGCTTTCTTTAAATTGTGATCAATTTTACTTTTGTCCCGAAACAACCGAGAAAAGGCGGAAGGTAGTCTAGCGGAGCAGACTATTGCCGCACGGTGTCACTTTCTGTGCTAAAAAGAAAGGTAACCCATGAAAGTTGGTAGCAGAGCTGCGGCTCAAGACCCTCGATAAGAAAGC